AGGAAGAGAGAACTGTCTCTCCAGACACACGTGAAGAAAAGGCCAGACGAGGACATAATAGAAAGTCAATCATCTGCAAGGTGGAAAGAAAGCTCTCATCAGACATCAAATTAGCTGGCACCTTGGTCTCGGACTTCCAGCCCTCCAGAACTGTAAGGAATCTGCTATTTAAGCCCTCCAGTCTATGATATTTTGTTATGGTAGCCCGAGCAGACTAAAACAATTATGGAACTCCTTAGCAGGAAGGGACAGTGAATAATGTTTGATCAAAACCTCACATTTTCCTCATTTATTTATTCGTTTATAAATATTGAGGGTTTTTTTTTTTTGTGGCAAGCCTTGAGAATACAATGATGCATGAAATAGAAATGGTCTCTGATCTTATAGAAGTTCACTCACCAGAAGAGACAAACATTAAAGAGATAACTTTAAAGAATTTAAAATTTCCATTGTGAGTAAGACCATGACAAAGTATCATGGGCTTTGACAGCATCTAACAGCAGTCCTTCATTTTGTCTGGAAGGTCAACAAAGTTTTCTCTGGGAAAGTATTATTTAAACTGAGTCTTGGAGGACATGTAGAGCTTAGCCTGATGAGAATGTGAGGTGGAGGAAACCATTCTAGAAGAGAGGGAATGGGACATAGACCTGAAATAGAGGCTGAGCTGGGGCTTGCAGAATAATAGATAGGTGACGACAAGCCCTGTATTCTTTCCACTCCCCCAGGGTGGGCTTCTTCCAGCCTTGTGTCCACTCTGGAGAGGGGTTTTCATACACATGAGGGTGGGCACTGGGAGGGGAAGCAGGGGATCTCTCGCAGAGTGTAAGGTTTTCATGGAAGAAAAGTGAGAAAGCTGAAAGAGGAGGCAAGGGAAGGAGGGATGAGGGCATTCCTTGTGGGCTCAGGTCAAGATGGAAAGGAAGGACCAGATGAGGTGGTGAGATCAGTCCTCAACTCAGCAGTGTGACCATTTCTTCCATGCTTGTTCTAGAAAGGGTTAGTAGCAACCTAGATACATATCCTTGTTGTCTTGCTTTTGATATGTATGCTAGGATCACAAAATCTCAGGTTTTTCGAGTCCCCTTTAGGTCTAGCTTTGTTATTGTATTGCTTCTTCTCTACTTCCTGTTGAGTACCTTGTAATGCCCCATGCGGGGCTGGGTGCTGGGATTACAAAGACAGAGATGATCCCTGCTAATAGGGAGCCTGAGACCACAGGGCAAGGAAGAGTAGTGTGTATGTGGAAGGAACAGCTACCACTGGGGTGTCAGCCAGGAGAGCCTTTCCAAAGATTTGGGGCCATGTAGATAGATAACCCAGCAAAGAGTTGAGTCTTACCTGGTTCGTCAGATCCTTGTTACCTTCTGACAGCAGGCTGGGAATTCTGAAGATACAGATTATGCTTCCTGAGGAGGACCCTGGTACCCAGGGATGGCTGGCTGGGTAGCTGTTCTGACTACAATACTAGTGAAAGGGTCCCCGAGAATAGGAAAAGAGAGAACCAGGTATAACCGAAGATCCTGGCATCTTCCACCCACTTCTAGTTGACTGTTTCTCAAGGTTCAATGTATGATTAACTGGTGCAGAGATGCTTCTGCATGGTGAATCCTCACTGTTATAAAGAAGGCCTTTCAGGTTTCTGAATCATATTTTGAGCCTTTATTTCTGGTAGCTTGAGGTGACTTGAGGTCTCATGGTGACTCTCATCCATACATAGGGTGGCATCATGTAAAGGGGAGTTGGTGGTTTCTTAAAAGTATATTTGACAGGTCCTACTCATCCAGGATCCCCTGCCAGGGAGAAGAATCCCTGCTGCTGGTTGGGTGAACGTGCAGGTGTGTGGCCTCCCTGGCATATGCAGGGAGATTGGGATGCAGGCATTATTTAACCTTTCTGTTTAGCCTGGGGTTATTAGCTTTTACGAAGCAGCTCAGCCCCAGGATACCTTCTTTTGTGTCCAGTTCTGGAGGGTTCCTGCTTGCCTCTTCCTCAGCCATGCCGATCCGCTGTGCTCCTCCACCATCTGGGCCACAGACTCCATGTCTTCTCTGCGCAGCATCTCCCTGGGCCTCTTCAGCTAGGTGTGCATTCCCACTTTGCCCAGTTAGGAACATGACCTCCCTGGTGACTTCCTTTTCAGATTACCAACTCGCCATTCTTTTCTCAAATGAACAATTCTTGTGTGAAGTAAATAATTACCTCTCCTTCCCATGATTGTTGTTTCACAAATTTTTTAAAATATTACATTTGCTTACTGTGGAGATCTATTTGCTTCATATGAGTCCTTTTTAAGGGAAGGACCGGGTCCAAGAATGACCCTGGCTTCTAGGCAAACTGGGCTAGTATGCTCTCCAGGCTAAGAAGGTTCAATTGGCATCACGGTAGAGTCTCCATAATAAAGATCATATTAAAGCAAGGTTATATTTCCTACAATCAATTCCATCAAGCAATGCACTAAGGATTTTTAGAAAGAGAAACCCAATTGTTTAAAAGGGAGAAGAGGACAAGAGAAGGGGATATAGAAGAACCCTAAGCAATGCAGTTACACTAATGGCCCTTGTATTATTGTGGCAATATTACTTACAAATAAGAGCCAAAGAGGAAAAACAAGCTGTGTTTGCTAGATGTACTGTCTGTTCCCTGCCTTGTTTTTCTGCTCTAAAGTATAACACTGTGTTGACGTAGGGATGTAACTGCTATGAATATTGATGACAGCAAAAGCCTTTTTTTCTCTGTCTGGCCTAGTAAATAAAGCAGAAGGGATAAAAAGGGAAAAGGAATTGTAAAATCAGCATGCTGTTTTTAGCTTATCTTTTTCCCCTAGAACTCTAAGTCTTGGAAACATATTGACAACCTACATTTGGTGGTCAGGGTCTAATTTGAGTATGGTGGGTTGGTATTTTCAGGGATTTTTGGCTTCTGGTTCAAGTAACAGAAGTGCGCTCTCCCTTTAGCCCTCAAAATTAGTGTCACTGCCTCATTGAAGCCTTCCTGGATCTCTCCCCTCCCTAGCCAGTAGCAAAGTCAGTCTCCTCCCGGCTATCAGGGAATATGGAGAATAAATAAGGGAGTCACTGGAGGTCTGAAGGCTCATGCATGCTTGGAGGGCTTGACTGTAGGGAAAGGGGAAGGGGTTGTGTTCATGGAAGGTCTTGGCAGCCTGATGAAGGGTGTGGGTACATGGGATGAGCCAGGCTGAGGGCAGGGCCAGTTGGGGGGTCTGGGGGAAGCATGGGTGTGGAGGTTGGGGGACAAGTGAGACTCTATATGGTTGAAAACACTGACTCTGGCTAACTCGCACCACAAAAGAATTTATTAGAGCTCTCTGATGGTGATCAAGGATCAAAGGGAGCTCTGGAGGACAGGGTAGGGATGGCAGGGACCCTGGAGGGAGGAACTGACCAGCTGGCTTTTCAGCAAGACTAGCAGGAAGGAGGAAATGGGAGGTGAAGGCTGGGGTCTGGCAGTGGTTGGATGGCTGCCCTGGTGGTAGAGAGGGAGGAAGGGGGGGCGGGGGAGGGGAGATACAGGAAGGTCAGGCCAGGTGATAGAGAGGTAACACTTTGGTAGCAAAGTGGCTGAAGCCATCTTGTAGCGGTCACATAGCAAAGTCCTGGTGGAGTAGGAGTGGACTAGTCCTTTGACCTTCTCAGAAGGCTCAGGATGCAGAATCACACTTTCTGGTATTTGTCTTGGGGCATTCACAGTGTTCATGTTTGGAATCCTCACTTCCCCACCAGGCTAAATGTTTCGAGGCTAGGGATGGCAATGGAGCTGTTTTTCTAAGCCTAGCTCCTCGTGTGGGGTTGGTCGTATAGATGGAGATGCTCACTAAGTGTTTCATGAGCCAAATTTATTTGACCTCTTGCACCAGGCATCTTAATAAGTGAATTCCATGATTTCCATTTTCCTAAGGTATTGGGTAAATTTCCTTGGGTCCCACAGGGTAAAATTAATATTTGTGGAGGGCTTTATGGCCCATGTGGAAGAGTTTTAATTGCTGATGGTTTTTCATTGAGTTATTAAGTAGCCTCTTGCCAGGGAATGCCTCTTATAAAATTAATTGAACACATCCCAGTGGGTCAGTGTTTCTATTAAAGCTGAAGCTGCATAAAGGAAACCTTTACAAAAGAGGAAAGGATTCAACATTTTTAGACCTGCTGATGGATGTGTTCTCTGGGCTCATGAAATCACTGGAGTTGGAGCAAGGAGGGTTCTAAGAGTCAGCTAGCCTGAGGGCTGAGTCTCAGAGGTCTGGGCAGCCAGATGGGAACAGCTGCCGGGGCTGGGAGGAGGGCAGGACATGCAGAGGCTGAGCCCAGGCTCCCTGGGATGGTGTGTGGGGACCACTCAGCAGTGGCAGCTGGGAGAAGCTGCATGCCAGTACGCAGGCAGGGGCATTGCCATTCTGAAATTTGCTCCCCTTCTGTGTTGGTGAGGAGACTTAAATACAGAGGTGAAGAGGGACTTGCTGAGGTCACCTTGCTGCTCTGTGACAAAGAGGACCCTGGACTTAGAAAGCGGGTGTAAACCCAAGAGGAAGAGAGAGGGTCAAAGCAGACTCATCTTCCTTTCTTCCAAAGGACATTCTGTTCAAAGCCGCTGTTGGAATCTTTGTTGCCCCCTTGTGCTCTTCTGGGCCTGATTTGGCAATCTCAGGAGGAAAACATGCTGCGTTTTGCAAATGTGTGCAAATAACAAACAGGCCCGTTATGTCCTAGGCAGACTCACTGCACACACATCAGGGCAGGTGGCAAAATGCAGTCATGCAGCCTGGAATGAAAAGTGTTTTACACTTAGCTGCTTATGAGAAATTCAGTGTTAGAATTAAAACGCCTTCCTGGCACAGGTGCTGTGTTAATGGTGCCATTTCTCATAATAAAACTTTGCTTGGAGAAAAATGCTTATATCTCAGAGATATTGATTCTAATTCCTGTTTCTTTTTCTTCTTCTCCCCATCCTCTCCCCACCCCCCCAACCCCTTTTGCTTCTCTTCACAGGAAAAAGTAGAATATGCCTTCCTGATTATTTTTACAGTCGAGACATTTTTGAAGATTATTGCGTATGGATTATTGCTACATCCTAATGCTTATGTTAGGAATGGATGGAATTTACTGGATTTTGTTATAGTAATAGTAGGGTAAGTGCCTTCTGTTTTGGGGAAATGTTTGAAAGATGGGAGGCAGGGAGTAATGGGAAGCCACAGTTTTTTGAGGGAATATGGTTGCTCTTCTCTGTGGCACTTGTGGCCAGAACCTTCCAGGGGGGGTTTGAAGATGCATGATGCTACTGTCAGTCTCTGGGCAGAGACTGGTTCAAATCCCCTTATTGTTCTTCCTTCCTTCCCAGTGATGTGTGTAGAAAGGGGTTGAAGCTCCCAGTGTAAGAGGGATCATTTTACAAGGCCTTGGGTCTTCACAAATAGACCAGCCCTGCTGGCAGTTAGAGTCAAATGAGTACAACTCTTAGAGTCAGCACCCTGATAAGTTAAAAATCCCAAAACCAGTAAAATAGTAAATCCTTCAGACTAGTGAGGTACTCTGCTATTTAACATCCCTGAGCAAAGCTATTAATTTTTTATGCTGACTTGTGGGAAAAACTTTGGCATGCTGCTGTCCCATTTTAAATAACAAAACAAGTGTCTGAATCATGCCAGGTATCTGGCATGAAATGAAATAAGCCAGAAAATGCAAATAAGCAAGCATTCTCCTGAAATCCTGTCATAGGAAGGAGACACAAACAGTTGAGTTAAAGGAAAGTGTTAAAAAAAAAAAAAGTGGCCTGCATTGTGTGATTCTGATCCTGGCACACCTGGAAATTTTGCCAGCGAGAAGACAAAAAACGAATCCGTTTCAGAGGAGTGCTGGGCCTTTGGACCCACAGAAGGAAAGAAAATCTCTATCCCTTCGCTGAGTCTTCATTATTCAGCTATTAAGCGGGTTGTTCCTAAAATTATATTTGGTCCTACAGAGAGAGATTGTGAAGTGACCTCTCTATGTTCATCTCCATAACTTTGGTCTTTTGAAGTCGAGTGAAATAATTTTTCTTCTAGGTTACTTAAAAAAAATTGTGAATCCCTTGGTTTTTCATGGAAGATTAATACAGCTGGATATTAGGAGAGTGGGATAAGTTTTGAGCCTGCCCTTTCAAACCTCAGAAGTTCAAATGGGATCCAAAATGGTGGTCCAGTGGGATAATTAGTCTTAAGCGGAAAATGTCAGCTTTCGTAAAAATCACCATAGGACATGGCATCTAAGATGTTACTGCAAAGGTAGTGCAGCTAAAATGAACAGGTAATAGGTATGTACCATACCTTCCTGTTTTTGCTGAACTCTAATCACTAATGGCAAGCAGGAGCCTAGAAGGTCTCTTGGTTCTGGAATAATTTTGCTGTACCTCTCCTGAGACTTGGCTTTGTGTTCAGCTATAGGATGGAGATGCTTAGCTCCATTTGTTTTTATACTTACCTTAAATCACCTCTGCTTTCTACCTCAAGGCATTTTTCAGACTATAGTAGAGCACAAAAACAGGGAACCAAACAGAGGGTGGTGGTCTCATTGCATTGAGAAGACAGAGACAAGAGTCCAGAAATGCTAATGGGGCTGAAATTTGACAGGCATGGTATGGGAAAGGAGGGGGCTTTTCAGAGAAAGAACTTCATAAATATGCCTTGAAGTGCTCTTGAGCTTTGCCTGAAGAATAATCTATGCTTACAGGGTGGTAAGAATCTATGAGGCCAAATATTATTACTTAGAGAAAAAAGAAAACCTGGAGACTGTTAGCTGAGTAGTAACTACAACTCACATAGATCTGAGAGATGTTCAAGTTATGTTAAACCAGAATGGAAAGACCCTGGACTGTCAGTAGAGACCCCATGAGGGCCATTAGTAGTAGGGCTAAACTAATTCTAGGGTAAGTATTGGCAAACTATGGCCAATGGGCCAAATTCAGCCTGTCACAAATCTTTGCAAATAAAGTTTTATTGTAAACATAGTCACATGCATTTGTTTACATAGTTGAGTAGTTTAGGTCTGCAAAGCCTAAACTATTTACTCTCTGGCCCCTTATGGAACATTTTTGCTAAGCCCTGCTGAAGACTAAAGATCAGTTGAATCCTTTGCTAATAATATTTCAAAAGAAGCCTGAAAAGGAGCAAACTGATGTGTAAAACTGCCTGCCAAAACAAAACTCAACACCCTTTAAGTGAAGACAACAAAATCCAGACACTTAACAAGTGTCCAGAATCCAGTCAAATATTATAGCCATTAATTAAAACATGTGATCCAGTACTAGGAGGAAATTCAATCTATAGAGACAGACCCAGAAATGACAGAGATGATGGAATTAGTAGATATTGCCTTGTAAGACTTTATTTTTTTTAATTTTATTTATTTATTTATTTATTTATTTATTTATTTATTTATTTATTTATTTATTATAGTCACAGAGAGAGAGCGAGAGAGAGGCAGAGACACAGGCAGAGGGAGAAGCAGACTCCATGCACCGTTGTAAGACTTTAAAAATAGCTATTGTAACTATGTTTATGGATGTAAAGAAACACATGACCACAAGGAGAAGAGATGGGACAATCTAAGAAAGAACCACATGGGACTTTGAGAGGTGAAAAACTTTTCTGTGTTGGCTTAATAGCAAATTAGACACAACAGAAGAAAATAAATCGAGGAACTTAAAGACCTACCAGTAACACAAAGAATAATGATGGAGAAAAATTGAACACCACTTTGGTGACCTCTGGGTGGTCTAACATACATATATTTGGAGTCTCAGAAGAGATGAGATAGAGGGGAGCCAGAAAAAATATGTGAAGTAATAACTCCATATTTTCTAAATGTGATGAAAAATGTAAACTCACAAATTTAAGAAACTCAATAAAGCTCAAGCAAGGCAAACATAAAGCTACATCAAAGTACATCATAATCATAATGAAATTGCTCAAAACCAAGGATAAAGAGAAAATCTGAAAATGTAATTAGAAAAGACATCCCTAGACTTCTCATCAGCACTATAGAAGTCAGAAGACCATAGATCTTTAAAGTGCTAGGGAAAGTGCCAACCTTAGAATTCTTACTCAGTGAAGATAACTTTTACAATTGAAGTAAAAACAGACTTTTTCAGACAAACCAAAGCTGAGACTTCACCACCAGTAAACCTATATCTCAACAAATGTTAAAGGAATTTCTTCACACTGAAGGAACATGAAACAAAAAAGAAATGAAGAATGCCCAGAAAGGGTAAATGCACAGATAAATATAAAAACAAATTTTTTCTCATTTTAAAATCTCTTTAAGAGTAATTGTTACTAGTAAAAATGTGTTGTGGAGTTAGTAGCTTCCATGAAAGGAAAATATGTGACAATAATAGCACAAAGGACAGGAAGAAGGAAATAGCTATATACTATTGAAAAGAGCTTATAGAGTTGGTGGTAAATATGATGAAATATTATTTGAAATTAGATTATAATAAGTTAGAGATGTATATTGTAAACCCTAGAGCACAGACCAGCAAACTTTATTTAGCCCATAGGCCAGATATGGTTTATGGCCTTTTTAAAAATGTTTCACATTGGTAAAGTATTTTCCTGTCTGCTTTGAAAGATTGTTTATTGGAAGACCATCACACTCATTCACATCTGTGGCTATTTGTTGCTAGGATGGCAAAGTTCAATAGTTGTGATAATGACCTTATGGCCCGCAAATCCTAAAATAGTTACTGACACTCTACAGAAGATTTTTGCTGACACTGCCCCTAGAGAAGCCACTAGAAAAATAAAGGTAGAATTAATAAGTCTATGTTGGAGATTTAATAGAAGTTTTAAAAGCTCAATTAATTCAAAAAGGGATGAAGGAAAAAGGAACAATGGACAGGGCAAACTGAAAACAAATAGCAAGATGGTAGACATAAACTCAGTTAAATCCTTATTAGAATCCAGAGGTTATACATAAAAAGACCCAATTTTATAGCATCTAACTTATAAAGACACAAATAATTTGAAATTAAAAAGCCAGAAAAACATATACTATGTGAAAAATAAAAGTAGAGTGGTACAAAATTCTTTCATGAAGAAGATGTAATAATCATATATACTAGCAAAACAACTGAAAGGAAGAATGGGGGATATCTATGATTTTAGTTGTACATTTTAATACTTCTCTCTTGAATGTTGATAGAACACCTATCAACAGAAAATCAGTAAGTGTAAGTGTGTAGGGAGATTTAAACAATACCACCTACTAACTTGGCATTTTTAGAACACTCAAGACCAGAATGCACATTCTTTTCACATGTACGTGGAACCTTGACCAAGAAATATTCTGGGCCACAAAATAAGTTTCAGTGAATTTAAGAGTATAAAATTGTACAGAATTATGCATTCTGAATGAATTTAGCAATGTTTCTGGGTAGAAGGTCAATATTAAAACGTTAATTTCTGTATGCTAGTCATGAACATTTGGAAAATGAAATTTTAAAGATGTTATTTACTATAGCATCAAAAAGCATGAAATATTTAGGGATAAATAGCATACTGTAAATGACTAAACTTTGCTGAGAGCAGATAAAGAATACCAAAATAAATAGAATGATGTTCATGGATTGGAAGGCTCAGTTATTGTTAGGATATCAGTTCTTCTCAAACTGAGCTATATATTGAATCCTAATCTAAATCCCAGCAAGACTGTTGTAGAGTTTGACAATTTATTCTAAAACTTCTATGGAAATTAGAGATGCTCTAGACTAGCCAAAGAAATACTGAAGAACAAAGCCGGAATCTGGTCTTAAGGCTTACTGTAACGCTATAGTATTCAAGACTACTGCATGATGTTGTCATAAGGAATGGACATAAAGATCAATGAAACAGAATTAGTCTAGAAATAGACCCGTATGTATGTGATCAATTGATTTTAGACAAAAGTGCCTTGATAATTCAATGGGTTCAATTATAAGTTGTAGTACTAAATTTTAGTCAGTTTTTAACAAGTGGTGCTGGAATAATTATCCATTATCCACTAAAAAAGAATTTTTATTCCAACCTCATAACATAAACAAATATTACCTCAACATGGATCATAGGCCTATATGTGAAAGCTAAAACTGTGCAACGTCTAGGGGAAGATCATTATGACATTGGGGCAGGCAGAGATTTCTTAGGATCCAAAAAGCACTAACTGTAAAAGGAAATAATTGAAATTTTGGAGCTTACCAAAATTTAAATTCTTTCCTCAAAAGATAATGTGAAGAAAATTAAAAGTTAAGGCACATATTTGGAAAAAATATTCACAATACAGATATATGACAAATGATTTGCATTTAGAAAATATCGAAAGAATTCCTATAACCCATTAGTAAGAAGACAACCCAATACATAAATGGGCAAAAGATTCAAATAGATCTTCATAAAAGAACATGTGTAAATGGTCAACAGGCACCTGAAACGATGTTCAACATCATTAGTAAGTAGAAAAGCAAAGATTATAACCACAATGACACCCTACATATCCACTAGCATTACTAAATATAAAAAGACTGACAATACCAAATGCTAGCCAAGATACGGAGCAACTGGAACTCTGACACACTGCTTGTAGAAATGGAAAATGGTGCATTCACTTTGGAAAAATTTGCCAGCTTCTTACAATGTTAATCATACACTAACCATACAACCACATTACCAGCACTACTCTTAGGTACTTACCCAAGATAAATGAAAACACATGCTCACAGAGACTTTATTCATAATGGAGAAAAACTAGAAACAAACCAAATATCTCTCAGCAGGTGAATGGATAGATTCATTGTGATACACTGGAATATCACCCTATAGTAAAAAGAAATGAACTGTGAATAAATGTAGCAACTTGGACAAATCTCAAAAACATGGTGAGCAACAGAAATTAAAAGAAGAACATACACTATATGATTTCATCTACAAAAGATTCTAGAAAAGGGAAAAAAAAAACAACCTAAAGTGATAATCAGTGCATACCAAAGGTTGAGCTGTGAGAGGGAGATGTTTGCACAGAGACATTAAAGAACTATTGGGGGATCCCTGGGTGGCGCAGTGGTTTGGCGCCTGCCTTTGGCCCAGGGCGCGATCCTGGAGACCCGGGATCGAATCCCACATCGGGCTCCCGGTGCATGGAGCCTGCTTCTCCCTCTGCCTGTGTCTCTGCCTCTCTCTCTCTCTCTCTCTGACTATCATAAATAAATAAAAATTTAAAAAATTAAAAAAAAAAGAACTATTGGGGATGATGAAAATGTTCTAGATATTGACTGTGGTGTTTGTATTTGGGCTTCTACATTTGTTAAAACTCCTCTCCTTGTACATTCTAAATGGATGTATTTTATCATATATAAATTGAGCTGCGATGAAGAGGACTTAAAAAGTAAAAAAAAAGTCATTTAGGAAACTAAAATAGGAATGGACTCATTGGTCTTTCTCATTAAATATGAAGAATTTTAGAACATCAGGTTATTTATCTCAAATATGCACTAAATTATAGTCAAAGAATGGAAGAAAAGTTAGAAAAGTCATTATGTCTTCATGTGTATCAAATTTCTACTCACCAAAGTTTCCGACTACAGACTGTATCTCAATCCAATGGATTTTCCATTCCAAGCCAACTGTGACCTATTGCTTTTGTCAAGATTCCCAATGACAGAGACATTAAGGAAGTAATTGATACTTCTAAAATGTTAACTGTAATAGTGTGACCACAAGAGGACTCAATGTGTCTACTAGAGCTGATAGTGATTCCCCCCCGCCTGCCCTCATTTGGAGAAGTTTATCCCACCCCCCTAATGTTTCAGGCAACATATATTTCAGGCTCCTCACTTAAGCTTTTGTAAAGAACATGGAGCACCCACGCTGGTGTTTTTAACTTGAGTCCGTTTAGGTAGCTCCTTGCCTTTTCCTGTGTTGGGGTAAACTGTAAAATTCTAGGATCAAATACTTTCTCTTCATGTCCTGAGCTCTCCAGGCGTGTGGTACTCTTTTTGTTGAGGGTGGGGGGTGTGAGCAGTGAAGGGAGTAGAATTGCAGAACATTAGACTGGGAAGGTGCAGGACTCTGGATGGTTTAACTCAGTTTCCTCCTTTTACAGAGGGGGAAAAACTAAGGCTCAGAGCAGGGGAGGAACTTTCCTAGAGTCTCCTAACTCTTAGGAATGGAAGCCAGCCCCAGCCCCTTCCACCTGGCTGTCTGGAGAAGGCAGCCAGCTTCCCTCTCTGGCTCAGGTGCCTCTGTAACAGGAGCGAGCCATCATTCACCTGTTTTCAAGGGCATTGCTAAAGGTGAAAGGACCATGAAGGAAGCGCTGTAAAACACAGACGCTTGAAAGTGAGCTTCAATCACCACCTGCATGAGTTTCTTCCCTAACCCTTTGGGACGAAAATTCCTGTGGCTGCCACATTTCAGAAGTTTGAGGTTTTCTTTCCTCCTTTTTCTTTGTTTTTGTGAAGCTATGAACTTGTTTTGGAGGGGAGACTTTTAACTTGAGCCTTGGTGCAGGGGTTTACAGTAATTAAAAAAACAAAACTATTCTGAGAGAAACCAGTTATAAATTTGATCTATTTCCCTGGTCCTAACCAAAGAGAACCCACCATCTGAAGGTTTGAAAAGGTAGAGGCTTGATTTATTCCCCCCTGGAGCCGCCCCCCCTCTGCCCCCACCTGGGTTCACTGCTAATTGCTGTAGTGTTAAAACAAATGGCTGGTCTTTAAGCGCCCCAGAACGATAGCATGTGCCTGATCGGGACTGTGATCAGACCACCCTGTATTTTATGGACTTAGTGTCTTGGCAATCCAGAGGCATGCCAGTGGGGGCAGAGTTTCTGCTTTGGCTCCTAATTAAACTTTAGAAACCTTCTCTTTGTTGTTGGGCCAGTCATCCCCAATCTGATTGGCCAGAGTTGATTCTATTTGAAACGGGTAAATTTATATTTATTCTGAAAAACAAGCAATAATTCCAGAGCATAAATGTTTATTTGAAAGAGCAAAAGTAACTGTCAAGTGAGCAGATTGTCTGAAAATAGCTTTATCCGAAAAACCTTTGGAGAGTAGGAAAAAATGTGTCGTGGCTGCCAGATACAATATTATGCACATTTCAAAAGAGAAAATGATGATATTAATCCCTTACCTTGGGTTACTCCTTTTGGCCTTTGAACAACTCCTCAGCAGCATCTGTGATTTACACCATTCCTTGAACATCTCTGTATGGGTGTAGAGAGGGGTGTGTGTGTGTGTGTGTGTGTGTGTGTGTGTATGTGTGTGTGTGTGTGAGTGTGAGAGAGAGAGAGAGAGAAAGAGAGAGAGAGAGAAGGAGGCAGGGGCTGTATAGGAAATGGTGTAGCATGTTGATTAAGATTTGGGACTCTGGAGTCAGTATTCACTCCTTGATTTACTCCTCAGATATTTTTCAACCACCTTCTGTGTTGAGAACTGTTCTAGGCACTAAGCTTGAACAGACTAAAAGCTCATGGCTTCTCGGCCTTTTGGCTAAGATCAAGTGTAGACTAGATGAACAAAGGAGCAACACAGACTAGAAGTCCCTGCCCTCATGGAACCTGTGTCCTCTCCTGGTGGGGCCAGCATACCTGGATTCATAAGTTACTTCTACCCTAGTAGTGGGACCTTGGGCAAGTTAATTGTTCTCATCAAGTGCGTTTTCTCACATGTTAAAGAATAAGAATTCCGACTGCGTAACACTTTGTGAGGATTGAGACAGTGTATGTAAAGTGGCACATAGTGAACTTGCGTGGAAGGTAGCTGCCATGATGATTGTCCTCGCCACTTCTGTTCTGGCAGGTCCACACTTGTCATTGTTGGATCCCTGGTGAGTCCTCTCTTCTGTGGGACTGGACTTGCTCAGGGATGCTCCGCTGGCAGGAAAGCAGCCAAGCTCAGTCCTTGTCACATCATATCATATGTAAGGGTGGCTTTCAGGATTCACAGTCTGATTCTTGCCTTTGCCTTGCTTCCCCTTCATTTAGGCAGCAGCCCTGCAGAATTAGTCCTTGTGCAGAAATAACTACTATTATCATCCTGTTTTGCTTCCCTGGGTGACAGACTCTAACATTCCTTCCTTTCTTCTTTTTTTCCCCAGATTGTTTAGTGTAATTCTGGAACAATTAACCAAAGAAACAGAAGGCGGTAACCACTCCAGTGGCAAGTCAGGAGGCTTCGATGTCAAAGCCCTCCGCGCCTTTCGGGTGTTACGACCACTTCGACTCGTGTCAGGAGTGCCCAGTAAGCACGTCTTGTTTCCTAAAGCCAGGAGTTTGTTGACTTGTTTTTCTGATGGGTGGGGCTCAGGATTCTGGAGCCAAGTGCTGCCAGGTGAGTTTTTGGGTGCCAGCCAGGGGCTCCGCAGATGACCACGGAGGCCTTCACGGTTCTCAACACACTTTAGCTTGCATGGTCATTTTGAACCCCCTTGGTGGCCCTGAGAAAAGGCCCAGTAGTGATAGCTGTCTTCCTGATTCTGTAGGAGAACCTTCCCTTACAGAGACCCTGAGCAAGTGGTGACACGAGGCCTTGAGGTCAAGCCACCTGATTCCAGGTTGGTTTTCCTTCTTGGACACCTTGCTGCCACCTGCCTCCTCCTGCTCCCTAGCCTGCCCCTCTGAAAGTGGTGGCTTATGCAGAGGAGGAAGGTGTTGGAGGGCTTACAACCGACTGCCTTTCTTCAAAGTGAGCAGCATCAGGAGGCTGGGCTGCTGAAAAGTCTGCTCAGCTCTCCACTATTAGGAGTTGTGCATATCCAGCTCTGAGGAAGAAATGGATGCATCCAGATTGTCCTTGTATGTAGTGTATGGTGGAACCTGCTTGCAGTTTGGAGAACTGAGTGAGATGATATGATTTCACCCAGGGCAAGGTATGTGGCACCGAGTTGGCCCTCCATGGTGAGAGATGCTTTTTCCCTCCACTAGGCTATGATACCTCTCCATGCCAGGCCCTGGTTTGCTTTTTGCTGCAGACTCTAGGCCAGCTTGAGCGCCACCTGAGTTGGGACAGGTGCTCTGTCTATGCTCTGGCCAGCAGCTGTAGGCTGCTTCTGTTTCTCTAAGGAGCATGGCGTATGCTTCACTGGGCTGTGTCCCTGATAGGACACCCCTGTTGGAGACTTGAGGGTAGAAGTCACAGCATCTCTGCGAGGATTGTGGTAGCAACTGTCTGCTCCAACTGGAGGAAGGATATGGGACGATAGGGTGTGCCTGTTTTTCATGACTCATAAAGCCATCAAAAGAGTACAGATCATGTTTTTGCCTCTCCAGAAGTTCTTAATGAGGTTTTATTAAACGTATTGACACACAGGACACACCAAAAATTCTCTGAAAAAAAAAAATTTCCAAATTTAACATTTTAAAATGTAGGAAGTGGTGTTTAATGTGTACTTGTTTTTCCAGATGGTTCATTTATTTTCATTGAAAAAGATCAGCACAAGTCAAAACCACAGAACTGTCTGGAAGCAATTGAGAAAAATAGAAATACCTTGGAAATGACTGGTTCTGTTATGTGTAACATGATGAAATGAGAAGTTCAATGAGCAAACATGTTCGTTCAGATTTAGTTGTCATAGTTTAATCTCAAAGTAACCACGACAACCTTTTTTCCCCAAAGAGCAAATGACAGGACAGCCTGTTTGCAGTATGTGTTGTAAGGACAAGCAGGTGCTGTGGCTTCACGAATGCAAGTCTGGCTAGTGAAGGTCTCTGAACTCGCAGATCATTGTTTTGGCTTCCTTGTTTAATGAGGTTTTCACTAAACAACTAGCTTAGTGTTCCTGGATACTCTTGAGAACCAGTTTTAAAGTATATTTCTTCCTTTTCTCCCTTATATAACATGATGGAACTTTGCATCACACTCTCCCAGAGGTCAACAGGGAGAAATGGGGACCTGAGTCTTGTCAAGGACTTTTCAGCTCATATTTATTAATTGTGCTGCTTGAGAACATCCAAGTCTCTCATCAGCCCCAATTGGGCTTTGGGGAGATGGGTCAGGGGATCTGGGTCATGATGTTTTCCATGAGGATTGGTACCTGGGGCCTAGTGATTTCTTAAGAACTGTGAAATTGTTAAAAGTGCCCAGGAAGGTGTGACTGTTTACACTCACCTGGCAATTGTCTTGTGCCTTCTATAGAGAATTCAGACTGTTCTAGAAGACACGATTTCGTGTGTGTTTATGAATGTATAATCATTCGTTGGGAGGTAAATATGTATTGTAAAAGAAAGTGCTTCAGACATTTGTGGAGTTCTTAACCACCCATACTCAGATGATAAATATTTATGAGAATCCTGGACCGTCAAATGGGAAAGAACCCTACAGATCATCTGGTCCATGGGCATCATCTTTTAGATGAGGAAGCAAAGGGCTGTGGAGGGGTAGCAGCTTATACAGATTCCCACAGTCAGTGGGTGACCGAATGGGAATAGACCCATTTTCTCTCAGTTCCTGGCCTAGTAGTCTTTTCATTACACCCCACTGTCTCTTAAACTGGAGTCCTATGAGCTCTGCTGTACACAGTGATTATGTATAAAGGAGCCTAATGTCAGGAAAGTCTACACATTCACATTAAGATAAACTTCATTATCTCATAAATTTGGCCAATCTGAAATACAGTAGTTGCAGTGAACAAATATGTTCATGAAACACATAACTCATTACCATAGACTTGAGAAGAACTAACTGCCAGATGATGATTTGGAATACCCCATCCATGTCCAACCTCCAGTGAAAAAAACCAAACCCCTGTCTAAGTCCATGAAAGCAGATACTTCTTTTCATCTAATTCCTGATAAAAGGTGAAAACATTAAAAGTCATCCTATTAATCATTTTTTTTCCTAAAACCATTTGAACAGTTAAATATCTTAATTACAATTGCTAATGACTATTTTTTCTCTTTGGTGTGTTCTGACTTCTGTCTTATTCACCTCTAGCATCTTGGCTTCTTACACTCTCATTCTTGGAATATGCATTGGGAGAGGGAGAAAGATACTATAAAAGAGCTGTGTGAAGGAGGAGAGAGGGCGGGGAGAGGAAGGGGAAGAAAGGGCAGAATGGGGAAAACGTGAACCTCACAGAGCAGCAGCTGTGCTCACCGGGTTGGGGAGAAGAACGTGGATGCTAAAGCCAGGATTCCAGAAGCCTGGCTGCAGTGTGGGTTCTGGTTTCTTTCTGACCACTCACCCATAGTCTGCTGTTTCCGCCCACCCACTCCTAACCTGAGTGTTGTCTCACCAACCCTTTCCATGATTTCACTCCTCTCCTGTACCGTGGCTTCCAGGTGTTCGTGCCCCACCCTCATCCCTCAAGTCCATGTCCCTGCTGCAGGACACTTCCCCCTTAATGCTGAGCCCATGATTAAACTTCCTGGGTGCCGAGTGGCTCTTGCCCTTCTACCTCCCTTGTTCCAGGGGAATCTCCTTTCCACATCCTTGTTTTTGTTTAGGCACAGGGGTTTGCCTCAATACCCTGCCTCCATGGGTACCTTCTCTTCCCTCAAACTCTGTTGCTGATTCATCCCTATCCTCAGGCTGTCCTGCCTGGAGCCCAGTGCTCCCCAGGTACCGCTCTGCCAGCCTCGCCTCTTGCTGTCTTGTCCATCTTTCAAAAGAGGCTGCCTCTTGCAGATGAGCTAAGAATCCAGCCCTGTAATCCAAATTTAATACCCAGAGCTACCCAGCTGCAATCTGCTTTCCTTTCCTGATCTTCTTTCCACTGTGTGACCACCAGCCAAAACTCACTGGTGCCCGGCCCACATTGCCTAGTTTCCCTCCGTGCTCCTGGTGCTCTTCCCTCTGGCCAGAGTGGCTCATCTCTCAGGGCCCCCTGTGTCAATCCATCCTCTCCCACCTTTAGGCCCTAGCGAGAGGGGGCTGTTGCCCAGTCCTCTGTCTTACCCCACTCAGAAGTGATGTCCTTCATCCATCCCTCTTTAATTTTCACTGTTTGATATTACTCCTATAGCATCTGTGTACTACCCTAGAGAGATGTGTGTTTCATTCTTACCTCCCTTTCTAGAATATGCTTCTTTGAGACAAGGTACTTTATGTAATACATCTTCATATTCCCCAAAGCACTAAATTTTATGCTTGCCACATGGTTGCTGTTCAAGGAATTCTGTTGAATGGGTAAACAAACATGTGAATGAATAACTGACTTGGAGATTGGGCAGTCCTCTCTCTGGGCCTTAGTTTTTCCATCTGTCGAGTGAGGCAATTGGATTAGATGGTCTTTTAGATTCTTCTTTAACTTATCTCATCCAGGTTTAATATTAATTTAATGTTAAATATCTCTGAGTTTTATTACTGTGTGTCATACATGAGGCAGGCATCAAGGCATCATCAGGAATTACATTATGTATATGTATGTATCTGTGAAGTGTCTCCCTGGCTCACAAACTTATTTCTCTCTCTCCTAGGTTTACAAGTTGTCCTGAACTCCATTATAAAAGCCATGGTCCCCCTCCTTCACATAGCCCTTTTGGTATTATTTGTAATCATAATCTATGCTATTATAGGATTGGAACTTTTTATTGGAAAAATGCACAAAACCTGTTTTTTTGCTGACTCAGGTGAGTAATGAAAATGGTAGCTAATGTAACTTAAAAATTTAATTTTCCCCAAAGTAACTTCTGTGGTTTTGGGAAAATCTAAAGCAAAATGGGGGGTGGGGGTGTGGAAAAGCCAAATATACCAGTAAGAACCAGCCAGTTCTTAGCATGAATTATGTTCAGAATAAATGAGGATTTAATCTCTTCTATCCTGATTTCCTATGTAATGCATCCTGGCACATAAGATAAAGTAACCCCAAAACTAGAACATGAGGGGAATCACTACCATCGTTCTCTGTACACTGAAGAAAGGTGCTGTAGAGACAGGGCAGCGGAGACAGCTGTGGATTCTGAGTGCAGAAATGGCATATGCCACCAAGGAGGGAGTCTTTGAAGTGGACCTTGAGGGTCAAGTGGGAGTCTGACAGCATAGATAGGAGGCAGGTGTTCTGAGCTCTGGCGAGGGCACTATGCTTCCATTGGCTTCAGGCTTCCTGGTGTTCATGTCTGGGGTGGTGAAGCCTAGCCTGTGTGCTCTGTTTGCAGATATCATAGCTGAAGAGGACCCAGCGCCATGTGCGTTCTCAGGGAATGGACGCCAGTGTGCCGCCAATGGCACGGAGTGTAGGAGTGGCTGGGTTGGCCCAAATGGAGGCATCACCAATTTTGATAATTTTGCCTTTGCCATGCTCACCGTGTTCCAGTGCATCACCATGGAGGGCTGGACAGATGTGCTCTACTGGGTAAGCAGCAGGGGGACAGCGTGTGTGGAGTGTTCTTTTGTTGATAGAGTGTTTCATTCGCTAGAGCCTTTGAAGAGTTAGCTGAAAAAGAAACCCTGATAGTCAGTTCTTGGGAAGGGAAGCAGACTCCTCAGTGAGATGACCCCTTTTTCCTTAGTTTCCACTTAGCCTTAGTTTCCACTCCAGAAAGCTGCTGTCTGCCTGGGGACATGCTGCTCAGTGTGCCCACGAATCCTTTAGAGGAACTTCCAAAGTCAGGACTGTTCTGAATTAAATTCTTAGAGAGCCAGGGGTTATTTTTCAGGTTAAGATGCTCCTGGACTTCCATGAGCTTGATTTATTTTTTATTTTTATATTTTTTTTTACATAAAGGTAGCTTGCTTTATCAGATCCTAAACAGAAGAAATTGGATCCCTTTTATGCTTTCCATGAACTTGGTACAACCTTCAGGCCAAAATGGATTTCCCCATATTATACTATTTCCCTTTTGCATCTTCAGCAATACCATAAATCAGCCCAGCACAAGCCCCTATGTCTCTCTTCCTTTTTCTTTGGAACTATAGAAGTCTGTCAGAGAGGGTAGGAAAGGCACATCAAACTTCCAGGGCTGGTGGATCCATCCAACCTGCAGTGAAAACGGAAGGACGCCTTTTCTATGGCTAAGGTCTGGTTATTCTTGTTCCCAACAGAACCAGAAGGATTTGCTATAGAAGAAGAACAAAAGTATCTTAACAGCTATTTCCCAGAGCTGAGGTTGTTTGCTTATTTATTTGATAGAATCTGAAAAAGCTCACAGAAATTTAGAAATTATTTTCCCTGGCACAGATTGCCAAGAAAAACAGCTGACATGCAGATCTTAAGCCTAAACCCAAGTTCAGATGGGATTAATCAGGATTCCAATAATGATTCGTTAAAAGGCAATTAGTGATAAAGTACTTCTTGAATGGGCAGTCTTTAGTTAGAAGGCCTACAAATTGAGAAGTAGCTTCTGGCAGTATCTAAATTTTAAACTCTTTCTAGGGTTCCATATTCCTTTATACCTTCAGAGAACCTGGCACACAGTGGTTGTATGTAGGTTTTTGCTTCCCTTCACCATTGAACACCATGTTTATAGGATTGTAGAAGTCCTTATATATTCAATTAGGCAAAAAAGGTATGTTTTTATTTTCTTCCCCAAAGTGTGAGCCTAATTTGGTAAAAAGTTTTGAGCATCACCAACATGTTGTATCTTGTTTCTCTCTCTTTGCTTTTTCTTGTTGTCCTAGGAAAGAGAGAGAAAGTGTGTGTGTGTGTGTGTTTGTGTGTGTGTGTGTATGTGTGTGTCTATGTCTGTGTGGGTATGCATGACTGTTATTTACATCCATAAGATGATGCCTTTCAGGAAGAGGAAGAAGGAGGGAAATTATATTGGATGAACCAAGACCATGCCTATGGCAAGGGGACCTTCAAATCAGATAAAGCATTCATTGTCAGTATTATTTTCAAAGTTGCAAATCCTTGTTAGATTAATCTCAATTCCAGTCTTGCCTTGAAATTTCTGATAAATAGAAAAGATTTATCCAAATAGCCAAACTTTGGTCCTGCCCCCCGCCCCAAATGGGACAGGAACAATATTTTGATTTTTTTTTAAAAATATGACTCCTAAAAAAAAAAAAATATGACTCCTTTCAGCTCTGTTGTTCTCTCTGTCAGAGTCAACTGTCCACTGCTGATCCAACATGCCTTGACTAATACAGTTTTATACTTTGTTAAATTTTTGCACATGGATTCTCTCATGACAATTTTCCTGTTGTCAAGCAAGTAAAAACTGTGAGTGTGTGATTAAAGGAGAGAAAATTCCATGCACCCAGAAACCAAAGTTTCCATTGCTTTCCTCTGAACCTTTAAGTATCACCTAGGATTGTATAATTATCATCTCTATTGTTAATACGACAATCACAGAGTTAATAATTTGACAATATAATAATTATATTCTCTGTGAATTACAGGGCATCTTTATTCTGATGGAGGAACTCAAGTAATTTATCAACATTATCCCAGTCTATATCCCTTTCTTAGAAGGACTGGGATTTTGAAGATCAAATGTGTGTATAGAGAGACCCAGTGAACATCCCCAGAGTCCTCCAGCCAGTAGTCGTGGTTCTTGATCAGGATCTATAGACCTATAAGGGGCCACATGGTAAATATATTTGGCCTTGCAGACCATAATATCACTGTCACAAGGACGCAGTTCTGCCCTCTGCCTGCCCACGTTGCTCAGAAGCAGCCATAGACCACATGTAAACAAATGGGTGTGGCTCTGTTCATTAAAATTTTATTTCTAAACACTGAACTTTGAGCTTCGTATAACATTCATGTGTCATGAAATATTTTGATTTTTTTCTTCCTAGCTATTTAAAAATGAAAAATCTACTTTTAGCTCAAGGGCTGTGCAAAAGCAGATGGTGGGCTGGGTTTGGCCCACAGGTCATAGTTTGGTGACCCCTGCTCTAGACTGGAACCCAGCACGCTTTCCTTGGCATTCTCTACTGTCAGAGGTTTGTGAACCATTCTAGAACACTAGAGGGCAGCTAAGTAATCTTCCAAACAATTAACAGATCTTATCCTCTGAAACACATCAGGTTGTTTTTCATTGCTTATTGATCATATTTATTAACTCATCAGAAAGACAAGAGCCAAGGCACCAAACCATTTTTAATATTTAATGGGCCATGGTCAGATGGAAGGTACGTAACTGTGTTCCAGAACAGAACATCCTTGACCAGCACAGAGCAAGTGCTTAACAAATACTAGTTACCCTTACTCCTCATGGTATAATCCCATTGCCTCAATGTAGAAGGGCCATATTTAAATATCAATTTTTATTCACAATAAGGTGTAAAGGAAATATCTTGAGAGACCACTAAAGAGATTAGATTGTAAATATTGATTGCAAGCAATCATCTAGATGTTTGTATATGGTGGACAAAGTCTTTGCCAGGGATTACTTAGCATCTTGTCAAGCTTATATTTGGTCAATGTTCTCAAGCTCATGATGCCTTGGTTCTCAAGAATTTCTGGTAAAGGCCTGGCTAGGTCTTGAGAAAAGTACAAGTGGGTCCAATATGCAAGAAGGACATACTTAGAACTATTTGGATGTGTGGGAGTGGGATTATCAGTTTCTGGTGGGGAAAAAGTCCTTATAGAGCTCTGTTATAAAGTTCATTCTATAAGCATAATTACAGTGCCTCCTCACCCACATATATTTGTTGTCTCTGGAGGCAGCAGGGTATAGGGCAAGGGAAGAACATGAAGGCTGGATAGGGCTGGGTGCATGATCTTGGACAGGTCTCCACAACTCTCTGGGCTTTAATTTTCTTATCTGCAAGATGCACAGTTAGACTACCTGAACTAGTTCTTCAACTCAGAGGAAATATTTTAAAAAATAGGAAATTAAAATAGCATTGGTTTAAGGAGAGAGCGACTCACACATAAATCATTTATGATCCCTTGCCTTGCCGCCACACTCCTTCCTCAATGAACATGCCATGAAGGTGCTGGCTGCCAGACTCCAGTGTAAAGTTCTCATGGTCAAACTGATGATCTGCTTCATTCAAGACACCTAGGAAATTTCTCTCTCATTGGCCAACGGCCTGCCTTTCTCTTACTCCAACCAGTATTACCAAGTTTCTGGTAGTGTTCTTCACCAGTTAGAAAATAACAAAAAGCTTTAGGTTGGTCTTTAATTGGAGACAAGAATGTGCATCTCAGCCTTTGAAATGAGGGGGAAAAAAAAGAAACTAAATAGAATATTATTTTCTAGGTACCAGGTGACACCACATGATGAGTTTGATATTGAAACTTTTAAGAATGAATCTAAATTGAAATGCTGCAGGTCATGTTGATTTTTTTCATTGTTGATAAAGACCATGCAGACAAAATTCCCAGCAGAGCCTTTATTGTCATTTGGGTATTTTGGGGGACAGCTCGCCAGTTCTGACTTCTCCCATGTATTTGGTGAGGTCTGAGAAATATTGGCCTCTGATAAGAGACTTGGGTTGAGAAGTTTGGAGAAGGACTGGCCCTTAGAGCTTAAGTTTTGTTTCTTTTCCCACCTTCTGTAGAGTTAATCTTCTGCGGCCTTCCCTCCAGCCCCCAGCTGTCATTCCAGTTGATATTTCTGATCCAAGTAATTGTGAATCTGTCAAACACCTATTCCTGAGATCGAAAGCTGCTTTAATTTTTTTTTTTAAGTGCCCTCCCAAGTGGAACAGACTGCTGTTCCTAGAACATTCCGTGCAACAACAGACTGAGGCCTGAATGAGGATTGGTAAAGTGGTTGGCTTGGCCGCTGACCAGCCCTTTCACCACATCCTGGTCAGCTCACAGCTGGGTCCAGGATGGGTCACCGCGCACCAGGGCAGTACAAGAGTGAGGTCTACGGATGGGAGTGTTGGACTTTGCACATCTTTCCTCACACCATGAGCACATACTCCCCTTCTATCTGCACTGCTCCAACTTCGAAGAGACAGGTCCAAAGAGAGGTCTCTATGGAAGGTCCTGACTCCAGGCCAGGCTCTGGCCACTACACCAGGCAGCCTGGTTTTTCTCCTCCACACATGGGTTTTTAAATAAGTTTAGTGGTTTCATTGCTTTGGAAGAATTACCCTCTGCCTTCCTGCTGAAATTAGTTTATCCAGCTTAATTCGATCAACAATTGCAGCCACGGCCCTGGTTCATTCATTACTCTAATTGCCAATGTGAGATGTGCAGACTGATATGAGTTCTATTAAGCACATCAATTTTCATGTGGCCAAACAGGTGTTTCATAAGGGATTTAATGCCCTCTCCCTAGACTTCAGCAACAGATGTTAGATCTTTTTTTTTTTTTTTTTAATGTTCTCTTTTCCTTTGGCTTCTGCATGCAGCAAACATAGTGAAATGCACACACTTCATTCTGTAAAGCTAAAAATCCAAAGCCGGGTAACGTGGAGGAAGTCATATGCTTGAAGGCCGAAGGGGCTTACAAGAACCATGACTCTCACAGACTATGTATAGTTCTGTTGGCCAAGATTATGGGTGTTCCAATCAAAGTCAGGCCTGCAGCCATTCATTCTGTCCCCAAACTGGTCCTTAATGCCTCCTTCCTCGGAGAAGTGTTTGCCTAATTTAACACTTACAGGTGCTGCTAGAAAATACCATCTAGCCATGAACCTTGAAGCACTGGTTTGCTCCCACATGAAAGCTGCTTGTGACCAAACCTTCCCTGTGAGGGTCTACCCCAAAGGCCATGTCTGACTCTTCTAGAAAAAGTGGCACAGGGTTCCTCTGGACTCTTTTACCTAGTCTTGGTCAGCTCACAGCTGGAGTCAACTCTCCTGGGTGGGTCATCTAGGTCAAAGCTAGGTGTGGGGATAAAAGCTTCTTTCTTTATCCTGGGTCCTTGGGTGCAGGTGGCAAAAATTTCATTCCCAAAAGCACCCTTGAATGTGTGTCACCTAGTTGACTTCTGAACACTTTCTTCTTTGTGTTAATTTAGTTGTGCTTATACTCACTGATTGCAGATAATATAGATTTTAGGTGGGTCAGGTTCTTTGGATGGGTTGGCTTCCAATAGAAATTTATTACTTTAAGATGTTTTTTTTTTTTAAGGGAAAGAATTGATAGTGTCAAATGTTGTAAGTTTGTCTCTGTAAGACTTTTCCACCATCACAAATGATAAAAGCAAAAAGTTTTAACAACTTGAGTAGGAAATACTTTTTAGCTAAGCATTAGCTTAGAATAGATCTACCAAGATCTAGTCTGAAAGTCCATCATCCAAGACTTTCCATTAAGCCAGATCCCAGCTGATTGCCCTGCCTGTGTCAAAGTCTGCTATTATTTGCCCCCAAAGCTTTGATGACTCTTCATGGGTGTTTGTGTGTGTGTGTGTGTGTGTGTGTGTGTGTGTGTGTGTGTGTGTGCGTGCGCTGGGAATATATAGTGAATGTACCTTGGCTACTGTTGTCTCTGATTCAAATCTAAGTAAATGTTTAATTCAATATATTGAATGCTGTCTCTAATGTCACCTCTCTCTTTATTAGATCCTCTTATTAACCTGCTCCTATGAGACCATCTCATTTCTTGCAGATGAATGATGCTATGGGATTTGAATTGCCCTGGGTGTATTTTGTCAGTCTCGTCATCTTTGGGTCATTTTTCGTACTAAATCTTGTACTTGGTGTATTGAGCGGGTAAGCTACACCTCTTTCATCTTGAAAGCAGAGTCCTAAGGACAGTTGCCAAGACCACACAGGTTTTGCTAGATTGAGGAGGGGAGGGCAGCCGGATGGGTGCCAAACATGTTCTGTTTCCTCCGAGATGCTTTCTCTTCTGCTGAGGCTTCCCAAATCAAGATGCTTTCTGGAATTTCACCAACCTTTATGAAAGAAAGCTATGGAAAGGTTATTGACCAGAAACTAATCAGCGTTGTTGCTTGGAATTTAAAGAGATTCCGTTGCTTGCCCTTTTGTCTGTCCTAAAATGAGATACCTTTATAATTGCTTTATTGGTCTGGATCCAAATGCAGATTATTTGTACAAAACGGTAGCTAAGCGAGCTGATCCTGGCTGACACTTGGTGGGCCAGGTTTGTAGATTTCAGCACCAGAACTTGTCCTTACCTGCAGACAAAAGGTGAAAGGTCCTAGCTGGGGTCCCTGTCTTAAGAGCAGTAGTCTGCGTGGTCTGGCAGCTGCTCCTGGGGCTCTGCTCTTTAGTAAATGGATAACTGATAACTGATCTCCTTACATTTTACAGGTAAATGATGCGATAGGATGGGAATGGCCATGGGTGTATTTTGTTAGTCTGATCATCCTTGGCTCATTTTTCGTCCTTAACCTGGTTCTTGGTGTCCTTAGCGGGTAAGCAGTCAGATCCACGTTGCATATTCTGCTGCTGCCACGCGTGGGGCGGCTCTGCGTGTCCCCCAGCTGCTCCCTGCGGCTTCTCTGCATGCGTGTGGACTCTGATGTCCCTTCTGTGTGTTGCTTTGGATTGAACTGTGATTCTCTCTGCCTGTATCTTGTCTGTGAGATTCTGTGTTGCTGACGCTTGCCAAATGTTATTAATTTAATGAAAACATTTCCCTGAGGCCAGGTGTGTTAGTGTGGCCATGTGCAGAAGTGGATTACAATGAGTGAAGGGAGTCCCAGCCTCGGTGTCCTCAGGAGAGGGTCTTTGTCTTTTGTGGCTTTGTTCCCATTAGTATATAACCTGGCCTTTTTGAGTTACCCACAGTGTGTTGCGAATGTTTCCAGAGTGTTTCAGATTTTATGGAGAAGGAGGTATAAACCCAGATTAGCACATAAATACTGAACAACTTCAAAATCTTACATCCTTCAAGTCATTTATTTGCTTGGTTTTCTGCTACTGTCATTGTGAGGATTGTCCCTCTAATTCATGATTAGGCTCAACTTGTGGAATCTTTAATGCAGAGCAACAACCAGCTTTTGCATACGCACTTCCTACGGCCTTATCATTCTGCTCACTCAGTCACTGTTTTTGAAATTTCACTTTGCTGCCTGCACTCCTTGGATGACCATAGAGTGGTCCATCTTCTCCATAGAGAAGATTCTCCATAGAATGGAGGCTGACTCGGGCAGGGGATCCTGGTGTTTCTATGCTCTGCCCTGCCTGTCCTTAGAGATGCCATCCCAGGCCCCTGAGGTGGCTCTGTATCCTCACCACCCACAGACACCCAGAAAGGGGAGCACCCTGAGAAGGAAGAAGGGGCTGCCTGGGCTCTCCCAGAAGCTGCTCCAGAACTTAACCACTGCTGGTGGACAAGCACCCCAGCTGGAAGCCGGGGTTGCCCATCTCCCCAGAGGAGCCTTTCTCACCCACTGTGCTCACACTTCCTCAGGAAGTACTTACTGGTGGTACACTTGAGTCCACACGGGCAAATCCTCACCTTTATCTTCCTCTTTCCAAGTCTGTGTCTCAAGATGGGGGAGGAGGGGTGATACCTTCATGGAATGCTGAGTCAGCAAAGAGCCCTTTATCGCATTGGTCCGCACACTGCCTTTGCCAGAGCAGAGAGCACAGCTCCTTCTCCACCTCTGCTCCCCTTCCTGGTCTGCCCTCTAAACTGCCCTGATGTTTTCAGGGGATAACGTATTTGGGGTTCTCCTTGACCGAGTGTGCTCACTTTTACACCACAGATGCAAAACTGTTGTGGGAAGCCCGACTCTAGTGATGGCCCTGGAGCCCGTGCCCCCAGTGAGGCAGGTGGGGCTGGGTTGAGGTGACAGCATCAAACCTCCCCCCCCCCCACGCACACACACAGCTTCCATCTACAGATGAATGGCTCTGCAAGCCCCTGTGTGAAGAAGAGTGCTTTCATCCTGATCAGTCTCTGTGGCCTTAGGTTAGTGTTGGGCTTGTAAGGGTGGAATTTATCCCTGGAGAAGCAGCATGGTGTCGATTTTGCCTCAGGAATGGCCTGTACAAGGTTAACAGCAATTCTGTTGTGCATTCCTTGGCGCCTCATGTCTCCCAAGTTCAACCAAACTGACTGAGGCCATGGAAACTGCTAATTTTAACAGTGCCAGTGACATGCCTTATCTCCAGGCTTCCCGGCACAGGAGCCATCGCCCTGGCGTGATGAAGCAGCTCAAGACGGGAGAAAGAAAAATATGGGAGGAGGGGCTCCTTAATAGAATGGTGGGCATTAAATATTGACCTCCATGGGACAACCAGTTTACTGGGATATATTTTAGGGAAAATAATAAGTAATTTAAAAGCATTTTTATATGAAAACAAAACTTAGATCCCTTCTGAGGGAGAACACATTGCATGTGAAAAAATAAAATCCAAGACTCCCCAGTGATTTCCACTGTCCGTTCCTGCTGTGCCCCAGCCCCTGGGGGCTGCACATGGAAGGTGCTCCACTGTGAGGCCACAGTGCTGAAGGGTACTTGGTGCAAAGTAGAGCCATGGCTGCAAAGCAGAGCCTTTCAGCCATCTCTGCTGGTTCGGCTAGCATTTCCTGTTGTGTGCTGGCTCTGGCCAGAGACCAGGGGTGCTGGCATTCTAAGACACAGAGGCATTGGACTCAGACTCTCCTTGTCTGGTGGGGAGGCTGTTAAGCAGTGCAGGACGGCCAAGCTGGAGCAGAGGTGTGCTGTGGCCTGTGTAGGCTGCATGTCTGTGAGCTGGATCTTGAAAGGCGATAAGGCATCTACGGGAGGGGGGAACCTATGAGGAGCCTGCTCCTACCTCCCTGAACAATTCCCAGCTCCTCTGGCACTTCCTTCCCCTTAACTGGCCCCCAAAGCAACAAAAAAATCAAAGCGAGTCATTCGTATGCATTTTCTTGCGAAGTTTTTTAAAAATTTGCTTTAGTCTTAGAGTTCTTCACAGTTTTTTTCTAGGGAACTGAATGTTAAAAGGAAGACAACTTGTGTTGCATGGCCCCTTAGGGACCCTCAGACCCGCGCACATATAATCCTTAAAGCGCTGAATTAAAAGCCTCCCATTTTAGAAACTTCAGACTGTGCTATTGCCTTCTGATGAAGAATCGTTAAATGGTGCTTGTGTGTCTTTAAAGTCTGTTAACCCCTTGGAAGTACTTGTTTCTGCTCCTTGGCTTTTTCTTTGTGTGTGTGGCCATGCCATCCTATTGTATTTGTGAACTGATTTTAACCTGCACACTTGATTTGGTGTTGGTACATTTTTAAAGCATTCTAAGACTGATGCTTTAGAAAAATCTTTGGTTTTACAACAGATCTTTTCTCAAGGTGAGTATGAAGTTTATGAAGTGTATACCCTGTGTAGCCAAGCATGAACACAGATGAAGACTTTTATCTCTGGTGGTGGTGGTCTTTGGGGAGGGGGAGCCAAGAATGTCTGTGGCTTGTGCTGCAATTTTACACTGTCATTGAGGAGATGATCCTGTTATGACCAAGGATTAGAAAGAATGTGTCATTTAAGTTTATAAGTCAGATTATGTCTCTTCTCATGCTGTGGGTGGTTATGTTTTTGTTTTTTTTTTTAGAAGTTTCATGAATTTTTTACTTTTAACATTGTTCATTTAGCTCCTTGTCCCTTTTGAGGCTTTTGTCAGTAAATAGAATAAGAGAACTAATTGGTGGCTCGGTGCTTTGTTTCTTTAGAATTACTGCCAGATTCCTGGGGGGCGGGGGGGGGGGAGGAAGTGGTTGTCCTGGGCAGTGGATTCACTTTTTCACCTGTAGGCCCCACCTGATGCCAGGCGTACCTGTGGTGAGGCCCCCTAGAAGAGACTGGTAGATGCGAAGGCCTGAAGGCCTGGGTTCTGGTCCTGCCAGTGTCCCCCACCAACTCTGAGCCTTATCTTTGTAGCCCTGAGCTTTGGTCTCCTGGTCTCTTAAGTAGGGATGGTCCCGTTGTGCAGCCTTCCTGCTAGGGTGGCTGGCTTTATATCAACCTTATATATACAACATAGAAGTAAAGGATTTGACTCATCGAATGCATCTTCATCCTAAATCCATGGACCTCCTCCCAGTCCCCTCTCTGGGCAAATGGGGACAGACACAGGAGTTCTTTGGAAATTAAAGTGTACCATTTTCTGGATTTACCAGGAAGCGACCAAGAGAAATGAGTCTTGTATACACATTCATACTGAACTCTGTGCCCCCAAGGTGAAGCTATGGAGGTTCTTTGTCAGCCACAAAGTATTTTCCAGCTCTAAATCTTTGTGACTCAGGTTCTCTCTGACAGTGAATTTTTTTTTTTCCACAACGTAGGGGAATGGCATTTTTGTAGCATCATGGTTAATCACACCAGCTTTAGAGTTGGAAAGTAATGACTTGATTCTCATTGAGCCTCACTTTCCTCATCTGTGAAATGGAGCTAAAATACCAACCATGTGAGTTGTGTGAGGATTCAATGAGCTGGAGCATAGCATAGCTCCTTGTTATCGTGGTGGCTTGAGTGAGAGAATATAAAACGTGATTTGTTGCAAAAAAAAAAATAATATATATATAATCAACTCAGTCTTTTTAATAATAATTGGTCAAGATCAGCCTGCATAGTGGAAACTCTTAAGTTATATAATATTTTTAAATGTTTTATTGCATACACACATGTATATATAATGACATAAGCCAGTGATTACTGAAAGATATTACATAAACCACCTCCTGGGCCTGCTTTAAAGAATAGATTAAAATCATTTATAACTCGCCTATGAATTCAAAGCTTTGGTTTTGCCAACATCTTAGGGAAAATATTTGAAAGACTTTCTTAAAGCAGGCTTTGTATGTTAAAAGATAATGTTTTTTGTAAAGCAGGTCTTATGACCTAAGACTGAATATAAACCCAGCCCATGTCTCTAAGTTCAAAGTCCTTCATCTCTAAATTGTGTTCTCTGTGTCCCAGTAAGTTCTAATTTACCAGATCACAGATATCTTTTTAAATCATTAATCCAATTTTATATTACTAGAGGCCTGTTTATCTTCACAAGTTTTGAGGGAACATGGATGAGGTGAAGCATTCTAGAAAAGCAAGGGCCATTTTCAAACCAGTGAATTATTCTGAGTTTCACTATTCGGCTCTTCTTATACCCCATTCTAGTTACATCAAATCCCAGGGCCTCACAAAGACTTAGGCATGGCTACTTGACTGTGCAACTGTAGATATGGAAGGAATGGGGAGGGAAGGTGGTGGTAATGGTAGTGGTGGGGACTCTGGACTATATTATTTTGGGATTTTACAGAGCAGGATCGGTCTGGGGCATCATTTGTACCCTGGTCCATTTAAATTCACACCATTATATAAGACATGGTAGGTCAGAGGTTGCCTCGGATTCCTTCTCCTTGAATATTGGCTCAGGAGGCAAAACATAGCAGGTAGATGGTAGTTGTATCACTGGTGAATGCTT